CTGGAGAGAGAGTGTGTGTGTGTGTGTGTGTGTGTGTGTGTGTGTGTGTGTGTCTTTGCGCGCGTGCGCGCGCGTGCGCGTGTGTGCACCCATGCGTGCGCGCCCGCCTGAGAGCTGCTCAAGCACTTTCCCCAGGACAGTAACAGGTCCCCCTGCCCTTTGTTACAGCAGACTCTTCTATAACCAGAAATAATGCAAGATCAGGCCCAGCACCCACTCAGCCTGGGGCCAGGGCTCCAAGGTCAAGGGCAGCCCCCTCCATCTCAAGAGTAATCTAGTTTGTCTCTGTTGCTTATGGAGGTTGGGGAGCCCAATGGGACAGTCAAGGGGGGTTCCCACCCAGCCCCCAGCTTTCTCCTACTTACTCAGAGGTGGCCAGGTCTCTCTTCAATCTGTGGAAGAGTAAGGGAGAGGGTTAGTCCTGCTCTGAGCTCACCCCTGGTGTCCCCAGGGCTGCAATGTAGGTGTTCATCATAATCTGGTCCCAGGCTAGGCAGGTCTAGAGTCCCAGCTTCCCAGAAAGGGGCCACCTCACTCTTCCTCTAGCTCAGAACCTCACTCTTTGAGAGGGTCCCACACAGCTCAAGGGCCACAGGGGCCCCTTGGATGTGAGAGCCACCCTGCCCTCCATTTTTCCCCACACTCACCGTCCTTCTCGCCGGCAACACATGACATAGGCCAGCAGCAAGGTAAGCAGAAGGGCCACAAGCAAAGGCAGCAGGAGAGTGACCAGGAAATCTGCCAGGAAGTCTTGGGCTGTGGCCTCCGTCGGTGGACAGAAGAATGGGTCATGCTCCAGAATTCCGTCGCCTGGGGTGGTCACCTCATCTACCGGCTCTGGCACTGACTTATCCACCTGCACAGAGAGCCCATGGCTAACCCAGGAGCTGCTGGCTGGACACAGCAACCTCCAGGGGTCAGATCAGAGGTTACAGGGCTCTACTCTATGCCCCTATGCAACCACAAGGATTCTTCCAGCCTGCTGCTCCTAGCTCATGTGACTAGCAGGACAAGCACTTGACCAGGAGACGAGAGGCCAATGCTAGGAGAAGTAGGATTATACAATGGTTAGCGTCCAGTTCTAGGGTCTGCCTGCCTGGGTTTGAATCCTGATTCAGTCTAGTGGTTCACTGGGGAGGTTTGCCTCTGTGCCTGGGTTTCTTCATCTGTAAACTCAGAGTGATCACAGTGTACCTGCCTCCCAGGGTAACAAGCTGAATCATGCTTAGTGTACAATGCCCAGCACATACTGAGTGCTCAGATGTCATCAATGACAAGTCCCTGATTGTGGGACCATGAATGAGTCCCTGTCTATTGGTCCACTCCCAGGAACAGAGAGCACCAGCGGTTTCTAGCCTGGATTGGCATCTCTAGGGACCCTTAACATGCCAAAGCACTGTAGTGAGCCTCCCTGGTTTATTAAAGTTTTGGGGACTGCCCTGTGGGGAGTCATTACTGGATTTAGCTTTTGGGCTGGGCAGATCTGGACACTAGGAGCTGGAGACTCCAAATGTGGATTGTAAGCTCTGTCGCCCTCTTGTGGCAGAAGGTAGAACTTCAGGGTGTGTGTGTGTGTGTGTGTGTGTGTGTGTGTGGTGTGAACAAGACAGAGCACAAACTAAAGTTGAGACTGAGACCAGGGATACACAATACACACGGGACTGGAGAAGTCAGAAAGGCTGGAGTGAGAAGCAGCAGGAATGGAGGGAGAAACTTAAGGGGACCATGCCCTACTCCCAGGCCTGGAGCTAGTTCACTGCTTACCCGGGTGCAGGATCATTGGGATTAATGGAGCACCTTTCTTAACAGACATTTGGGAAGGCCTGTGCAACCTTGTTAATTGGTGAACACTTTAGGCCTCCTGGTTTTTCTACACTAGATCTCCTCTTTACCCCAAATCAAAGGGGTTATTCTTTCATCCATATAGGTACTCAAATCCCTAAGAAGCTATCATCTAGGCTAATGAGCAACTGAGCTTCTGTGTCCTGAGCATGATAACTCCAGGATAGTTTGCATTTATCTAATAGGAGAGACAGTGTAAGACACCTGGCACAGAGTTGGCATGCAGCGGAATCCAGTAAGAGGGAGCTAACTCTTCTTGATTTAGCAGAAGCTTGGTTTTAACCACCTGAATAAAAATAGAAATAAATGACCCACTCCTCACCAGGGACACATTGCACCAGTCAACACGGAAGTGAGGTGCCAGGTTGTCGTAGCAGGAGAGAAGTGGAGGCTGGCCCTGGGCACAGCGGGCATGGCTGTCAGGGGAGGCAACCATCTTCAGGCAGGTAGAAAAGGGTGAGGCAGAGCCCACCTTGATATACACCCTGGGCACAAGTGAAAGCCAAAGTCAGCAGAGTGGTGGGGGGGGCACCTGGGCACCACTCTGCTGGGGGTGTTGAAGCTGACCTGATTGTAGGCTGGGACCTGGGGATGGGATGGGGGGTGGGGCAGAAGCATGGTGCAGCTGGGGCCCAGCAGGAGAGGTCCCAGCCTCCTCTCCCTGAAATCTGGGGTAAAGGTGACAGGTCACAGAGCACCCCACTCTATTCCCCTAGGGATGTTCTTGGATGGACCTGCAGGAAGTGCAGGATTCAGGGTAACTGGGGTTTAGGCCCACGAAGGACAAGAAGGAAGCAAGGGTTGGCTGGAGGGGAGTGGATGGCCGTGTGACTCCAGGAGGAGATGGATGGACATGGCGAGGATGTATAGTGGGGACAAAGCCCTATCTGGAAATTAGGGGGAGTCCCTGCTTCATGCCCATCACCCTGATCCCAAGTGGACAGCCTGTCCTTTAGGAAGCCCTGCTGGACTGCACACTGACCCTTCCTTCCGGCCCTCAATGGGAAGAGGGACACGGCCCCCACGGTCTAAGGCAGAAGTGATGTTGAGCAGCTGCAGCTCCCCGGGCTCCCAGAGCCCCGCCAAGGCCGTGAGGAAGCGGTGGGCAGGCGTCGAGGGCAGCACCTCCTCCACGTCATGGTTGCGCACCAGGAACTCAGCTTGGTAAGGCAGCCGGGGGCCTGGGAAGCCAGATGAACACTTTAGGCTGCCCTAGCCCCCGTTCTGCACCCCCAGATCTTTCCCAAGCCTCCCCTAAGCTCCTTCCCACATCCCCACACACGCCTTCCTGCCCCCAGCACCATGAACCTCACAGGTGCCAAACGCCCTGCCCCGTGACTCACTGCCCCGTGGCTCACTGCCCCATGGCCTCAATGACTCACCCAGCCTCACTGTCTGTGGGCAGAGTGGACAATAGCGCCGCCTGAGACTGGACCCCCAGCCAATACTCATTCCCTGAAAGCTACCAATGTCACATCCTCCCTGGCCCCCCACTCTCTCCTACTGTCCAAGCCTCTCCCTGCCACAACCACCACTCTTCCCAGGAGGTTCCTCAAGACTGGCATTAGCTGGGAAGCTGACCATACCTTCCGGGTCCCCAATCAGCAGCACCAGCCTCTGACGAGTGGTATCAAAACTGTCCCGGTTGTAGGCTGTGACCTGGGGGGTAGAAAAGGGGAGGTGGGGTTAATCGGGGACCGTGGCACAGCTGGGTCTGGCAGAGAGGACTGATAAGGAAACTCAGTTAGAGGTAATAGAAATTCTACGTCAATGACCGTGAAGGAACACTCAACTCCCGTGGGTAAGGCTGGCCTCTAGGAGGCCAAGGTGACCCGCCCCCGGGAGGTTCTGGGGGGTCCCTGCTGGCACCTCGATGACCTGGCGCCCACGATCTTCTGGGGTGGCGGTACCATAGAGGAAGCCAGGGTTGTAGGGGCTGCGCTGGGTGTAGCGGAGCCACGGGGGCAGATCTGGGTGTCCCTGCAGGTGGGCGTGGTAGGTGATGCGGACGGTGGGCGGGACAGCTGGTGGAGGAAGGAAGAGGGGATTGGATGCCTGACCAGAGCCCAGGGCCAGGCACCCCCCAGCCCGTCAGGTGCCCACCAGGCCCCTCTCACCGATGTGCTCCGGAAGACGAAGGAAGGTGGCATGATCCAGTGTGTGCACAAAGACACGACCCACCAGCGGGTGAAGTGTGGTCTGCTGGGCCTCGGTGCCCCCCAGTCCTGCCAGGAGACCTGAGGGCACCCCGCAAAACCCCAAACACACAGATGGCCTCAGTCCTGTCAGAGCATCAGCTCCGTTCCCCACCAAGCCCCTGCCTCTGCTGCCTCTGAGCAAAGGAAGACGTGTGGGATTGACGGGAGGGCTCCCCCTTCAACAATCGAGGCCCCTGTTGGGGTCGCAGTGGGCAGGGACTAGTGTTTGACTGGGAGGGGTATGTGGGGTGGATCTGTTAATGACACTTGGAAATGAACCCCAGGCTGAATGTCCAGGAGACTGGTGAGGACAGTGGGCTGAAGGAGCCTTCAAAGGAGCCGTCTGGAACCCCGATCCCCCACCTGCCTTCCCTAATATTCACAGAAGACCAGGGCCTACGCTAGAGGCCACGGGAAATCTAGCAAAGAGGACAGGCCTCCGCGGCCCCACCCTCCCTCTTAGGGCCAAATTTAGCCTGGGCCTGGAAGAAGCCGTAGCCCAGCCAGCGCATTAAAGGGCCCATGCATGACCCTGTGGCCTCTGCACTCAGGCCCACCTCAGCCCCGGGACACCTTCAGGCCTCAGACCTCCCAGGCCCTACCCCCCAGAGCCAGCTCCCAGCCCCCGGATCCTGGCCTGCCTTGATGCCAGCACCCCAGAGCCTTTCAGGCCCTAC